TCAGTTTTCTATAATATTCTAGTTTGTAAAACAAAATAATGTTTTAATCTACATATAAAGTTTTACTTATATAAATCTAGATCATTTGTAACTTTAATTAATTTATTGTTTAAAGTATCATTGATATTATATCAATGATATACCATTATTAATTACTATATTAATTATTATTAAATAAACAGTTTATTTCAATTGGGGTTCAGTTATACAATGATTTTTATTTATGAATTGAGAAATGTTTTTGAATTTTACGTTAATTCACATGATTTTATTGTTTTGTCTAATTGTAAAATAAGTCAAACAAAATCATTTCATAACTGAAAAATAATTGCAACAAACAAATAATGAAAGCATAGAAACAATGATCTTTATTATCATCGCATTCATTAAATTAGCTGTTATAACAATCTTATTATTTTAACAATTAAAATATTAATCTATTAAAAAGCATTTAATATGCATTGCATTTATCTTCTAAAACAAATAAGACATTATTGAGTTTATATAATTATTTTATATGTTAGCTATTTCTATGTCAAATAACACAAAAATTATATTGCAAATACTTGTAGATATACAGAGTGATGTAGATGTAGATGTAGATTAAAGTAAAACGCAAGTTATTAATATTTATTAAATAGGTGTGGCATTAATATCGAATTAATTAAATTATTAATATATTATTTGTTATTTTTATAGCATTTTATATAACTTATTATTTGACAAATGGGTGTTTCATCTAAATATCAAATATTATAATTAATATAATAAATGAATAACAAACATCAAAACAACAATTTTGATTAAATTTTAGTAAATGTAATACTTTACGATTGGTTGCTATCTAATATCGTATATTATAAGGGAAGTTCAGTTTGTATGCAAAAATATATTTTGTAAATGTCATTTTATATTTGATTATAAATTATATATAACTTATAAGATATGTTATAAGTTATAACTTATTTCTATTTGTTATTATATAATATTAAAAAGTTTAAAAATTTATAAGACTATAATACAAATGGATACTCAAGATACGGGTGAGTTCTATCTAACAGTGAAATCAAGTTGTATTTATATAATCAATAAAATAATTACATTCTTCATATATTTTATTAATAAAACAAAAACACAGCAATTAATACAATTCATTCATATATTCATAATTACTAATACAAGAAATTTTGTTTCAATATTTAAATTAATTTCAAAAGTGTTGAGCTTATGCTTATTAGTTTATGAGGCCATAGATTTAACATCAAATTACTTCAGTTATCCCAACGTCTATAGCGTTAACGTAAAGCCGAGCAATGAATTGCTTTTACCAGAGATTACTATCTGTACGGAAAGGGATGTGTTTTTTGACAAAACAAAGATTAATAATGAATTTGAATTAAAACATGAATACGAGAAGTGGAAACTACAGACAAAAATACATACGAAAAATATGATAAATAAATTATGTCAAGGTAGAAAATATAATAAATATCCATATGTTTGCAAAACTCCGTCATTTGTTGAAAGTTATTATTTGAATCATTTTTATGACAAATATTTGCCGCAAATGTTTGCCAACTATTCGTTCAATGATTTATTCAATCGATTCTCAATTAATGGCAACGAATTTTGTGTTTTTGTTTTATTAATAAAATATATGAAGAATGTAATTATTTTATTGATTATATAAATACAACTTGATTTCACTGTTAGATAGAACTCACCCGTATCTTGAGTATCCATTTGTATTATAGTCTGATTTATCTTAATTTTCAAACTATTCAATATTATATAATCATAACCAGAAATAAGTTATAACATATATTATAATCATATATAACATGACATTTACAAAATATATTTTTGCATACAAACTGACCTTCCCTTATAATATACGATATTACATAGCAATCAATTGTACAGTATTACATTTACTAAAATTTAATTAAAATTGTTGCTTTTGATGTTTGTTATTCATTCATTATATTAATTATAATATCTGATATTTAGATGAAACACCCATTTGTCAAATAATAACAGTTATATAAAATGCTATAAAAATAACAAATAATATAATAATAATTTAATTAATTCGATATTAATGCCACACCTATTCAGTAAATATTAATAACTTGCGTTTTACTTTAATCTACATCTATATCTACAAGTATTTGTAATATAATTTTTGTGTCATTTGGCATAGAAATAGCTAACATAGAAAATAATTATATGAAATCAATAATGTCTGTACTTGTTTTAGAAGATAAATGCAATTCATATTAAATGCTTTTTAATAGATTAATATTTTAATTGCTAAAATACTAAGATTGTTATAACAGCTAATTTAATGAATGCTATGATAATAAAGATCATTGTCTCTATGCTTTCATTATTTGTTTGTTGCAATTATTTTTCAGTTATGAAATGATTTTGTTTGACTTATTTTACAATTAGACAAAACAATAAAATCATGTGAATTAACGTAAAATTCAAAAACATTTCTCAATTCGTAAATGGACATCATTGTATAACTGAACCCCAATTGAAATGAACTGTTTATTTAATAATAATTAATATAGTAATTAATAATGGTATATCATTGATATAATATCAGTTATATAAATATCAGTTATTTATAGTTACTATGAAATTTGTTATTTAATTAATTTCAATGTTTACTAGATCTAAATATATTCATTTTGAAATATACATCTAATTTTGTAATAAAACAAAATGTTTGATCTTATAATATCTTTTGACTCTTATCATTTGACTTAAGTTTATTTAATATTGAATTGAATTCTTTATCATTAATGAAAACATTCTTATGTATAGACCATTCGTTATGTTTGGCCGACACTTGCCAACAGTCAGGCCGTTGTCTCCAAAAGGGTGTTGACATCATTGATTGGTTACAGACCATATCTGTATCATAACTAGAAAACTTATGGCTAAGGAACCGTAGTTTACTAAGACTGGAAATTTCATTGTTGATTAAATTAATTATTATATTAATCAATATTTATTATTAAATTAGGTTATTTAAATATAACTTTACTAAAAACTTACGATTGAACGTTAATATGAAACAATTTCTGACCGATTAAAGACATGCTATAAATGTCTGACTTGTGATTATAAGGATTGCCAGAAACCACTTCGGGTGCCATATATGCGATCGTTCCTAAAACCGAGTGCTTGTATCGGCTGGAAGTGTGTCCATCGATGTCGTGATCGGTGGCCAAACCAAAGTCACACACAACGATTGGACCCGAAGTTGGGATCAATTAATATATTGTCGGGTTTGAGATCCCGATGAATGACACGGGGTTTGGATTCGTGTAGATATTCAACACATTCTAAGATTTCCTTAAATATTTCACATGAAATAAAATACTCGAAGATATTATTAATCTCTTCTTCCGGTTGTCTCTCGAAGACAATGGGTTTGTCTTTGAGAACAGATTTAAGAGTTTGTGAACAGAACTCCAATTCAATGAAGAGATGATTGGACTCAAGCCATGAGTTGTAATACTTTACCACAAAATCTGAGCCCAGTTTTGCCAAACTTTTCACTTCTTTCAGAAGTTTTTGTTTCTTTTCTTCACTAAAATCTGTGAATATATTTAAACGTTAAAAAGAAATAAAACAAATAGTTATTAAATTTACCCCCGAATTGTACTCTTTTAACGGCATATATGAATGAATTGTATTAATTGCTGTGTTTTTGTTTTATTAATAAAATATATGAAGAATGTAATTATTTTATTGATTATATAAATACAACTTGATTTCACTGTTAGATAGAACTCACCCGTATCNTATGCTTTACTTTAAATACAGTCCCAAAACCACCCGAACCTATGGCTGACATCTCAAGGAATTGAGTTTTATAGTGACCAGCATTTGTAGTTTTATTTTCTCTTTCATTTACTGCTAATATTTTAAATAAATTATTATCTAATATCAATTGTTGGTTATTATAATTAATTAAACAGTAATAAAATGGATTACCTTGTAGAGAAATTTCATCATTTGAATTAATAATATTTACGCTTTTATAATGTGAATTGATTTGTAAATTAATTAATGATCTGTTAATATCACTTTCATTTGCTGTTTGTGTTATTTTTTCATTCAATTCTTTCAAATTAATTGTATTATAAGTTATTTGGCATTCATTGGCGTAAAAGTCGATAAAAGTATTATAATTTGTATCAATTAATTGATTTTCATTCGATATTTTAAATATTTTATCATTTATTATAACACAAATAAAACCAATTTTATTCAAATAAAAAGGTGAACTAATTTGTTGTATATTTTGAAAGTGATGTTCAGATAGTTTTTGTTTCGGACTTTTTTCAAACACTTCTTTATTATTTTCATAATATTTTCCACAAAAATATAAATCATTTATTGCTAGAAAATATGTACCAAAATAACTACAACTAATTGTTTTTACGTTTTCTATGTTTGATATCAATCGGGGTTTCAATATTTTCTCATCAGTTATATTGTGTCCCAATTCGTGGTCTCTATTGTCTCCCCAACTGAAGACATGTCCGTCGGATGTGATGGCAAATGAAGAGTTATGCCAACAATAAATGGATCGTATTTTATAATGATTATGAAATTGTATTTCAATTGGTGTACAAATATATTCATTAGTACCTCTACAACCAATTTGTGCAGAATTGTTGTGACCCCAGGCATAGACCCGACCATCACTTATGAGGGCCAGTGTGTGATGATTACCACAACTGATTTGTTCAATACTTTTATTATTAAAATATTTTATTATCTCAGGTTTTACGCAATAATCAGTCATATTTTTGTTGCCATTGGCTAATTGTCCATAACTATTGTGGCCAAATGCATAGATCCGATTCATACCATTCACTGCTAACACAAAATCATATCCATTGACAAAGTATTGTATTTTTTGATGACATAATTGTGGTATCAGTTCTGCTGATAGTATAGGAGTCTTATGTCCCAAACCTAGACATCCATTTTTATTATTACCCAAACCATAGACCAAATCATTGTTTGTTACAAATAATACATTGTATTTTTTGTTGTGATCAATAAAAACATGTAATTTTGTTATCTTTATACAAAGATCTATCGAAATGTTGTCACAAATTGAAAATTGCTTTAATAGTTCACTCATTTTTAATAATAATTATAACTAATTATTTATAAAATAATTATAATACTTAATACAAAAATATCATTAATAATAATTAAATTATAATTTCTTTGTTTAAAATAATAAAATATATGTTGGATTTATTACCTTAAAAACACTTTAATAAAACGTTTTGATAACTATACTATAATAGCTATATTTTTAGTGCAGCTATAAATATATTTATTATACAAATAAATAACTCAAAAATTATCACAATTGTTATCAAAAAATTTTATTGATGTGTTTTTAACGCAATAAATCTAACTTATATAATATTTTTATTCAAAAAACTAAAATTATTGTTTAATTATATATTGTGCTTAATTTATATATTTAAAAATATTTAGTGTGTTCAGTATTATAATTGTTTATTAAATAATTACTTATAATTATACAAATGTGTGAATTATTAAAGCAGTTCACAATTTGTGACAACATTTCAACAAATATTAGAGAAAATATAACAAAATTACATATTTTTGTTGATTTCAACGAAAAATATAGCGTATTATTTGTAACAAACAATGATATGGTCTATGGTTTGGGTCATAATAGAAACGGATGTCTGGGTTTTGGACACAAAAGTCCTATACTATCACCACAACTGATCCCAGAATTATGTCATAAAAACATACAATACTTTGTCAATGGATATGATTTTGTGTTAGCAGTGAATGGCATGAATAGTATCTATGGTTTTGGTCACAATAGCTTTGGACAGTTAGCCAATGGTAATAGAAATATGACTGATTGGTGTCTGAAACCTGAGATAATAACATATTTTAATAATAAAAATATCCGACAAATTAATTGTGGTAATCATCACACACTGGCCCTCACAAGTGATGGCCGGGTCTACGCCTGGGGTCATAACAATTGGGGCCAAATTGGTTGCGGAAGTAATAGTGAATATATTTGTACACCAATTGAAATACAATTCACTAATAATTATAAAATACAATCCATTTATTGTTGTAATTACTCTTCATTTGCCATCACATCCGACGGACATGTCTTCAGTTGGGGTCAGAATAGAAACCATATATTGGGACTCAATATAAACAATGAGAGAGTATTAAAACCCCAATTGATTGAAAACATTGAAAATGTGAAAACAATTAGTTGTAGTTATTTTGGGACATATTTTCTGACAACAAATGGTTTATATTTTTGTGGAAAATATTATGAAAATAATAAAGAATTGTTTGAAAAAGGTCCGAAACAAATACTATTTGAACATAACTTTCAAAATATACAACAAATTAATTCACAGTTTTATTGGAAAGAAATTGATTTTATTACAGTTTTAATGAATGACAAAATATATAAATTAACAAAATATAATCAATTATTTGAAACAAATTATAATAATTTTATCGACTTTTACGCCAATGAATGCCAAATAACTTATAATACAATTAATTTAAATAAATTGAAAGAAAACATAATACAAAACGAGTCAAATTATAAAACATTAAAAATAAATCAAAGCTTAAATATTATTAATTCAAATGATGGTATTTTTCAACAAGGTAATTTATTAAATTTCATTTTTAGTAATTACCTAAATTTTAAGAGTTTAATTCATATTTTAATTTATTTGACAAATTAACAGTAAATGAAAGCGAGGATAAGACTACAAGTGATGGTAACTATAAAACCCAATTCATAGAGATGTCAGCCATAGGTTCGGGTGGTTTTGGGACTGTATTTAAAGTAAAGCATAAATTGGATGATAAGATATATGCCGTTAAGAATGTTCGATTCGGGAGTAAATTCAATAACTAGTCATTCAATGTTTATAAAAAAAACTATAAAATTATAATTATTTATACAGATTTTAGTGAAGAAAAGAAACTAAAAGTATTAAAAGAAGTGAAAAGTTTGGCAAAACTGAACTCAGAATATGTGGTGAAATATTACAACTCATGGCTTGAGTCCAATCATCTCTTCATTCAAATGGAGTTCTGTTTACAAAGTCTTAAATCTGTTCTCAAAGACAAACCCATTGTCTTCGAGAGACAACCGGAAGAAGGAATTAATAATGTTTTTGAATACTTTATTTCATGTGAAATATTCAAAGAGATCTTAGATTGTGTTCAATATATCCATTCATGTGATCCACCGGTCATTCATCGGGATCTCAAACCCGACAATATATTAATTGATCCCGACTTCGGGTCTAATCGTTGTGTAAAACTGTGTGACTTCGGTTTGGCCACCGATCACAACACCGATGGCCACACTGCCAGCCGATACTCGCACTCAGTAGTGGGCACAACCAGATATATGGCGCCCGAAGTATTTTGCGGCAAATATAACCACAAATCAGATATATTTAGTCTCTCTGTAATCGGACAGCAGTTGTTTGATATCGATCTCCAGGAGTAAGTGTTTTACTATTATTTTTATATTTTGTATATTTTATTAAATATTGTCACGGATAAAACTGCTCTCAATTAAAAGTAATAATTACGTTTATATTTTAATTAAACTAGCTGATTTTGGCGCTACTCGTAAATACCGAGCAGCAGTTTTACCGCTTTCCCGTAAATTGTTCGCTATAGACCAAACCAGATTCTAATAATTATCATAAACTCTAACTAAAACCTGTTCTCCCAAATCTAACTGACTATAATAATAGTTTAAATTAATAAAAGATTAAGCATTCATTACACAACAAACAACTTTTATTCAAATAGATTAAGAAACATTAAATACAATACCGAGTCGGTATTACCGACAGATGGTTAATTACGGATGATGATTTTGGAATGATGTTACAACTCGACGTGACTTATGAGTGGTTACCGGCTTTACCGACAATCAGTAAATACTATCACTAGTCCCGTTATCCCAACTCAAATAAGTCTGTACCACAGTTTATAATAAAGAATAAATGAAATAGTAGTGAATAGTGGGGAAGATTGGATGTCAGTGCCGATATAAGTAATACTTATATCACGGATAGCGGCACAAAATAAGACTAAAACTGAACCTATAAAGAATTCTCAACTATCTGTAAAAGTACTTATTCAAAAAGTAAAGATCTAACTAACGTGAACACAAACTAAGACTGAAAAGAAAGAGAGCGAGAAAAGTGCGGCTTTCCCTTTTATACCCGGCATTGGAATTACATCACATGATTGCTATCAACCAATGAGATGTCTTGAAATACTATGCGGCAATGCCTGATGTAATGCTCGCTGTTGAATGTATTAGCGTTTCTCCACAAGGGTGGTGGCTCACAATGGCCGACTGCTATGCTATATACTGAAAACACATAGAAATGAATGGAAATACATAAAGAAGAATAGAAATGCATTGAAAAATACTAATCTAACAACTTTATAATTTAATTAAAATTAAGCTTGTAACCGTACGTCTAATCTGATGTTATGGGATTATAGATAGATAATCCCCCTTTGCTATAGTAGGTCTTGAATGGTCCGGCCGAGTTCCGGTCTGGGGGTTTTCGGGCAATATTCCCGATGTATGCGGGAATTTGCATAGAATTGGTATTTAATTAATTAATATTAGCTAATGGCTTTAGCGTACGTCTGATCTCATTCTATAATTATACATAAGGGTTGTCCCTTCACACTTTAGTATACGATATATATCTGGTCAGAGTTCCCGTATGGGGGTATTCGGGTAATATATTCGATATAAGTGAAATATGCATACAACTACAATAATAAATTAATAACGGCTAATTACCTTGCCGTACGTCTCCTCTAATCTTATAATTATAATCTCTAATATCTGGCCTCAAGATCCATATGACACACGGATATGGGCCGAGTTCCCGTCTGGGGCATATCGGGTAATGTTTATGTAGTTATAGCTAAAAGTATGTTATAAGCCAAGGTTTTAATTAGTTTATAATTAACCCTTTGACCGTACGTCTTAATTGACCTTATGGGTTGAATCTATGATGTCTAAGCTTTATAATAATAGGTCGCACTTAAGTGTCCGGAGTTCCGGTCACGGGGTTTTCGGGTGTTATAACCGGTTCTAGTATTCATTATTAGTATCGCCTTTGGTATTCACTTTGAATAGTGATCTGGATCTTGTATACTACTACTAGTGTGTATCTCGGTAACATATATGACAGTCCTGACCATCGGGCGTTCCGGTCTGGTCGGTTCGGGTCACTACCCCGATAACGATAATGTTAAGTGTAGACAAAGTAAGACCTCCGCCTCACAATGAATACCCTTGTCATCTCAATCACAAAGTGCAGACATAGTAAGGCCTCCGCCTCACAATGAATACTACTTAAATGGCCAGTCAGTGTTCGGGCCGGTAATTAGTATCGGTAATTATGGTACAGTCAATATGTGAGATAAGGCGCGATATTCAAATAGGTGTTTATCATAATTTGTACGGTCTAGTATGTTAGTCTATACGGTACGCAATGAGTGTTAAAGCCGTAAAATGCGAAAAAATACGCGGTAAATATTTTACTTATTACAATATATAACGTATATATATTGCACAATATGTCACAATTTGGTGAAAGTAACGACATTTTAATTTTAGCATAAATTAAAGTCAATGTTTCGCAAAGATTTCCAGTTTTGTGAATCTGAATGACAAATGCATATCAAATAAAACAATGTTAACATCAAATGTAAACATTGTTACACATAAATCGTAATACAATTATATTTGTGTCAATTCAAAGCGAAAATTTTATTTTTCAAATCAACAATTGCTAAAAATTTTGCAAC